TCATCCACTGAGAACCCTGTGGAGCACAGTTCTACTCTGACACACACGGGGCACCATGAGAGGGATCTACTTATGAAAAACCATCCACTGAGAACCCTGTGGGCACAGTTCTCCTCTGACACATACGGGGTACCATAAGTGGGATCTACTTATGAAACCCCATCCACTGAGAACCCTGTGGGCACAGTTCTACTCTGACACACACGGGGCACCATGAGTGGGATCTACTTATGAAAAACCATCCACTGAGAACCCTGTGGGGCACAGTCCTCCTCTGACACACACAGGGCACCATGAGTGGGATCTACTTATGAAATATCATCCACTGAGAACCCTGTGGGGCACAGTTATCCTCTGGCACACACAGGGCACCATGAGTGGGATCTACTTATGAAAAATCATCCACTGAGAACTCTGTGGAGCACAGTTCCCCCCTGACACATACGGGGGTGTCATGAGTGGGATCTACTTATGGACATTCAGCCACTGAGAATCCTGAGTCACTATGAACGGAGTCTACTCCATGGCACAGGATTGGGCTTTAAACATGATCAGTGACTAGAAGAGCTTACACTAGGGACTCTGGAAGCCCTCACGGTCTTTTACTGTCCATGGCACTTCCCACGGACACACTGAACAGAGCTGAGTCGGTCTGGAGCCCATTTGCAGTCTGTGAGCCGACTCAGGGACATGAGTGTCTAGTTATCAGGAGGGACGCTGGGAGAAGTTCGTGCCCTCAGAGCTCTAGCCAGGACCCCCAGAATCTCCCAGTCCCTGGTTTGCCGCCCACGCCCCCCACTCACAGTGGCTGCTGGTGTTGTAATCTGTGTGACAGACACAGAGGTAGCTCCCGCTGTACTCCATGCAGTAGCCCCCGTCGGGGCACTGGGTGTTCATGTTGCAGGGTGTGGTCGTGACTTCTGTAGAGAAGGAAGGAGTCCCACCTCTCACTCCAAGGGTCTCCCTGGGACCCTCATGTGGCTCTGCCCTCCTTGGGTGGGGGTGAGGCCCACACGGCACAGCGGCCGAGGGTCCAGACCTGTGGTGTGGACCCAGGCCCAAGCTCCATTTACTCCCTCAGCGGCTACCACCAGGGTGCCTGACCATTTGTACCTCAGTTTCGAGTATGCCAATGGACCAGGCAGGAAGTGGACCCCTCCTCCAGCCCTGACTGCCTACCAAATTCGCAGAGGAGCCCGAAGAAGCCTGGGGGGCACTGGCAGAGGGTGGAGTTCAGGTCTAGGCAGCGGCCTCCATTTCGGCATTCACAGTCGTCGGAGAGTCCTGCCACAGAGGGAGCTTTCATGGGCTAACTCCCATCGCCCTGCTGCTGCCCACCTCCCCTAGAGCCCTGTGTCCACACTCACACAAGTCACACACCACACACAGATCACAGCCAGACACAAACACACACAGCCACACCATACATCACACTCATGTACACAAACACACATTTACACTCTCACATCCACACACACACACACTCACTACATGGCACATGCACACACAATCACACACACACACATGCACGCACCTGCCTTCCTGACCCTCACTGAGTCTGCTGCCTGCCCCCTGCCCCCACCCGGACCCCCACGCACTCTCCCCGCAGTTGAGGCCCACGAAGCCCCCGGGACACTCGCACACATAAGCCTGGTCAGCGTCCACACAGGTGCCACCATTCTGGCAGGGGGCTGAGAGGCAGACATCTGGCTCTGGGTGGATTCCTGCAAGAAAGACAGTGGACAGCGGTCACCTACAGCCCAGGCAATATGGGCAGGGTGGGGCCCGAGGACAGGGATGGTGCATAGCAGCTCCATCACCCCCAAACCTGCCTCCGATCTCTTCAGAGTCACCATCCCCAGCACTGAATGCCTGGCAACCTCTGCTCCAGCCCCTCATCCGTCTCGGGTCTCCTTAAGAACCCCACGAGCATGGAACTGGACTAGGTGGACTTTTGAGAGTGGCTCTCTTCCCTCGACGCAACTAGATGTTCACGCAGGTGTCCTGTCCGCAAGGAGCTCTTCTTTTATGACGGGGTAAGGCTCATCGCAAGGTTGGCGGTTTGAGTCCATCAGCTGCTCCGTAGGAGAAAGATGAGGCTTTCTGCCAGCATAAAGATTTATAGCCTCGGAACCCCTATCCGGTGTCACTTTGAGTTGGAACCAGCTTGACAGCATACAACAGCAAGAACAATGTATGAGAGTCCCAGTGCGCCAGGGTTTTCTCTGTCATTCTGCTAAGTCACTAGTGGGTAAGCACTGGACTGCTAAGCACAAGGTTGATGGTTCAAAGCCAGCATCCTTGGAAACCCTGCATAGGACTGCTATGAGTTGGAACCGACTCGACAGAACTGAACAACAACCACACTAGATAATGAAGGGTGTCGTGGTGTGACACGGTAGGATCCGCACCGGACTGCCAAGCACAATGTATGTAATTCAATCCTAACAGCTGCTCCTTGGAAACCTATATAGGGACACCAAGAGTCACAATTGAGTCACTGGCACTTAACAGATACAACAGTGGATAATAATAGCGGCAAATAACTCTGCCCAGATGCGCTCCTCTCCTGCTCATATATCTTCTCTGCCAAGGTCTGGTCAAGCCTTTGTCCATTTTGTAAGCTGATTTGTTTTCTTATTGTTGAGACTGGAGAGTGATTTATCTTTTATATACAAGACTGTTTACAAAATGACTTCTCGAAACATTTTCTTCTGGCATGTGGCTTGTCTTCTCTTTCTTTTTTTCATGATTTTCACTGGCAAAAGTTTTTAATTTTGATGAATTAAAAAGATTTTGATGAATTTTAAAGTTTGATAAAGTTTAATTAAGTTTTAAAGTTTGAAGGAGTTTCAGAATTTATGATGAATCCCAATTTATCAATGTTTTCCTCGTAGGGGTCATGACTTGGGTGCTTTTACCACTTTGTCTAGCTTATAGTCACAAAGTTTTCTCTAACTTTTCTTTCCTACAGGCCCCACCTCGAGGTCTGTGACCCATGTTGAGTTAATGTCTGTATAGTGTGTAAGGTTTGGGTTGGTGTCCATTTTTGCATGAGGATGTCTTATTGTTCTAACACCATTTATTAAAAGACTTTATTTACTCCATTGAATTACCTTCACCCCCTTTTCAAACTTCCACCAAACCCTCATCTATGTATGGATCTTCTGCCCATGTTGTTGTTGTTGTTAGGTGTCACTGAGTCTGTACCGACTCATAGCGACCTTATGCACAGCAGAATGAAACACTGCCCGATCCTGGGCCAACCTCACTACTGTTGCCACGCTTGAGTCCATTGATGCTGTCACTGTGTCAATCCATCTCATTGGGGGTCTTCCTCTTTTTCTCTGACCCTCCACCTTACCAAACATGATATCCTTCTCCAGTGACTGGTGCCTCCCGACAAAATGTCTGAAGTATGAGAGACAAAGTTTGGCCATCTTGGCCTCCAAGGAGCACTCTGGCTGCACATCTTCCAACACATATCTGTTGGTTCTTTTGGCAGTCCATGGCACTTTCAGTATTCTCCTCCAACACCATAACTCAAAAGCATCAATTCTTCTATGGTCTTCCTTATTCACTGTCCAGCTTTCACATCCATATGAGGTTATTGAAAATATCATGTCTTGGGTCAGGTTCACCTTAGTCCTCAAGCTGACATCTTTGCTCTTCAACACTTTAAAAACTTCCTGTGCAGCAGATTTGCCTAATGCAACACTTCATTTGATTTCTTGACTGCTGCTTCCATGAGTGTTGATAGTTGATCAAAGAAGAATGAAGTCCTTGACAAGTTCAATCTTTTTTCCATTGATAAGAATGTTTATTGGTCCAGTGGTGAGGATTTTTGTTTTCTTTACATTGAGATCTTTTGATATTGCTTCTCAGATCTCTGAGGCTCTGTTAATTCTTCCTTGTGCTATTTCTCTCCGTTGTTATATTGGATTACTTCTGTGACTCTAGCTTCAGGTTCACTGGCCCTCTGTCACCTCCATTCTGCTCCTGAGTTCCTCCAGTAAGTTTCTGTGATTATCTGAAAGATTTATTCTTGTATTGTTTTTCTGTTTCTTTGCCAAGCCTTTCTATCTTTCCATGTGTTCTGGAGTATTCCACTGTTGGAGTATTTTACGGTAATGAAGTCAGTCTTTTTCAGACACGTCCAGTACCTTTGCCTTCTTGGCATTGGTACATCTTGATGATCTTTTCCCTCGAGCACTGAGATTTCCCTGGTTCTTTGTAACCTGGGTATTTATGAATCTAATCATACACATTCTCAATGTCTTATGAGATTTGGGGTTTTCATTCTATACTGATGTTTGTGTTTAACAGGAAGGCAGTCTGGTTGGGTTAGGACACAGATTCCAGCCCACATTTTGTAGGTTTCAATGTCAGTTCCCTTTTCAAAGCCTTGTTCTTCAGATTGGACTCAAGTGTGCACCCCGCAGTAGCCAGCCAGGACCTGGGTGGTGGTCTACCCTGTATTCATGGTTCCATGTCTGCCAGATGCTGTTTGGGATAAGACTGCACATGCCCATCTTGGGGGAACGCTGGAGCTATAAACAACTTGATGGGATGCTGCCCCAGGACACGCCCTCTCCACAATCTATCTCTCCAGTACATCTTAGTTCTCTACGTCTCCCTTCTGGTTCTCTGGCCAGAGAGCTGAGGCTTTAATTGCTCCCCCATGCCACAGCTTACTTCCTGTGACTGTACCCATATCTGAGGCCAAGCGGTCTAAAGATGCAGAAAGAGAATAAAACTATACAGCTGTCCCTTCTGTTCACCTACAGCATCTCCAGTTGAAGAGGAAGGTTCCTCTCCCTTGGAGTTTAGGCATCCAAGGCCCCTCTACTGCTGCCCCTCAAGCCCAGTTAGTGGCTTCTCCTGAAGCTCTTCATCCACTGATGCTCATTTCCAGTTTGGGGGCTGTATTAAGCCCGAGGTGAATCATGAGAAACTCACCACTGGCTTGGTGGTACTTCCAATCTTGTTCTTCCTCCCAACCCACCTGCTACTTTTTGGAGTCCTCGGGATTTATAGCTGCATTCAGTGGGAGAGACAGGGTAGAAGAGCTTACCCAGAACTGGAAACTCTTCTATCCATTTATGGTGATTTGTGTCTTTATAGCTAAAGTGGATTTCTTATAGACGGTATATAGTTGGGTTTTGCTTTGCATTTCAATTTAGCAATCTTTGCATTTTAGTTGGAGTGTTTATTCAATTGCATGCATTGTAATACGATTATGAATGTAACTAAATTACAATCTAACATTTTGCTATTCAAACAGAAAGAAGGAATATTTAGTGGTTTAAAATCAAGAAAGACGTGCATCACAGTTGTATCCTTCCACCATACTTAATTCAATCTGTGTGCTGAGCAAGAACTCTGAGATGTTGTGAAGAACAATGGTGCATCAGGATTTGAAGAAGATTCATCAAGAACCTGTGCTATGAGACGCCACAACCTTGTTTGCTGAAAGTAAAGAGGACTTGAAGCAATTGCTGATGAAGATCAAAGACCACAGCCTTCATTATGGATTAAAATTCAATGTAAAGAAAATAAAGCTCCTCACAACTGGGTCAATAAATTACATAACGAAAAATGGAGGAAATATTGGTGTTGTCAGGGGCTTTGTTTTACTTGGATTTACAATCAATGTTCACGGAAGCTCCAATCAAGAAATCAAATGGCATATTGCTTTGGTCAGGTCTGCTACAAATGGCTTCTTTAAAGTGTTACAGAGCCAAGTTATCACTTTGAGGACTAAGGTGCACCTGACCCAAGCCAGGGTATTTTCAATGGTCCCTTATGCACATGAATAACAGTGAATAAGGAAGACAGAGGGGAATTGATGTACCTGAATGGTGGTGTTGGTGAAGAATCTTGAAAGTACCATGGGCTGCCAAAAGAACAAACACATCTGTGTTGAAAGTGCAGCCAGAGTGCTCCTCAGAAGCCAGGATGGAGACTTTGTCTCTCATACTTTGGACACGTTATCAGGAGGAACCAGTCTCTGGAGAAGGATGTCACGCTTGGTAAAGTAGAGGGTCAGTGAAAAAGAGGAAGACCCCGGAAGAGATGGACTGACACAGGGGCAGCAACAATGGGCTGACACCAAACAACTGTGAGGATGGACAGTACTGGACACTGTTGTGTTCTGGTGTTCATGGTGGTGGTGGCTGTGTGCCGTGGAGTCGGTTCCGACTCATAGCGACCCTGTGCAGGGTTTCCGAGGCTGTAAATCTTTACGGGAGCAGAACGCATCGTCTTTCTCCCGTGGAACAACTTGTAGTTTCGAACTGCCGACCTTGAGGTTCACAGCCCGATTTGTAACCTCTACGGTACCAGAGCGCCTTTCTGTTGTTCATAGGGTTGCCGTGAGTTGGAACAATATCTTATTATTAGGTTTTTATTTGTACCACTTTTTCCTTCTGGATTAATTGAGTTTGTTTAAGATTTGATTTTACTTCTATGATTAGCTTATGCTTTTAGTGGTCGTTGCAGAATTTACAATGTTTATCTTGAACTGAGCACAGTCTCTCTTCAAATAGCATGGTACCAGCTCATATGTGATGTGAAAACCTTACAACATTCGGCTTCTTTTTCTTCCTGTCATGCCATAGTCCTGGCGAGGTGCTGTAGGATAAGCACTGGACTTCTAACTGCAAGGTTGGTGGTTCAAACACACCAGTTGCTCCTCAGAAACCCTATGCACGGTTGCTATGAGTCAGAACTGACTCAATGGCACTTAACAACAATGTGTTTCATACCAGGAATGAGAAAACTATGGTCTACAAGCCAAATATGCCCTGCTACCTATTTTTTAAGAATAAAGTTTTATTGGAACCAACTGTGCCCACTCACTGAGGTATGTCTGAGGCTGCTTCGGGGCTACTATGGCAGACTTGAATGTTTCCAACAGAGATCATATGACTCACAAAGCCAAAAGTATTTATTCTTTGGCCCTTTACAAAAAGAGTTTGCAGACCTCTGCCCCAGAATACAAGTATTTATATTTTGCTTTAAGCAGCCAATGATATTTAAAAATTGTTTTTTTTTAAAGTTAGAAAATGTCTTTTATATTTACCCAGATATCTGCCATTTCTACTACCTTTGTATAGATCCAGATTTCTCTCTGATACCATTTTTCTTCTGCTCAAAGAGCTTCCTGTAACATTTTCTGTTTGTTTGTTTGTTTGGTTTTGGTAATACAAGTATGCTGGTGATGAATCCTCTCAGCTTTTATTCACCTTTACAAGTCTTTATCTGGCTTTCATATTTGAAGGATGATTTTGCTGGGTACAGGTTTCTAGGTTGATGGTTTTTCATTCCAGTACTTTAAAGATGTGATTTGACTATTCTCTGACTTCATTGTTTCTGAGAAGTCTGCCGCAAACTCTGTTTCCTTGTATGCGTTGTGACACTTTCACATTTTTCTCTTGGTCACTGGTTTTCAGCAATTTGATTATAATGTGCTTTTGTGTGGTTTTAATGCTTTCGTTAGATATGTTGGTTTTCGTTTACATCAATTTTGGAAAAAACTGCAGCTCTTATTTCTTTAAATGTTTTTTCTGTCCTTCCCCTCGCATTCCTGGAGCTTGAAATACACACGCATTAGACTGTGTGTTATTGCCCCGGGGGCATCGAAGCGCTCTGCATTTTCTTTGGTTTTATTATCTGTGCTGCCTATGAGATCATTTTTATTTCTACCTTTAAGTTTATTGATCTTTTCTTCTACAATATTTAACCTGCTGTTAATACCATCCAGTGTATTTTTATTTCAGATATTATATATATTTCAGCTCTTAAAGTTTCACATTTTAAAAATATCTTCTATTTCTCTCCTATCGTGGTAGAATAGGAGCGCACGAGGGGCAGTGGTTAAGCACTCAGTTGGTGGTTCAAACCTACCCTCTGCCCTGCGGCATATCTGTTCCCATAAAGATGTCAGTCCTGGAAACCCCAGGGTTGCCATGAAGCTCAACCTACTCAAAGCAGTACATGCACCTTTTTTTTTTTTGTTTTGGGGGGGCGGGGGGGGTTAGAAATGTCAGTTCTGTTGTTCCTCATTATTCGTTTCCACTTTGCAGGAATCCTTTGAAATCACTTATCTATCTTCTGATATGAGTTTCGTTAAATATAATGTCATTTAAATAAGGGTCCTCACACCTGGAGTCCGGGTGTGGTGCTGCAAGATAAAACATTGAACTGAAAGATTGGTTTGAACCACAATGTTAGTGGTTCAAATCCACCAGCCATTCCTCAGAAGCCCTTGACAGCATTGCTGTGAGGCGAAACCAACTCAAGGGCACTTAATACCAACATCCACATACCTGGTCAAGGTGACTGTAACACATCATAGGCGTTTAAAGCAACCCGTAGGTAGTGAGGCCTTAGCTTTTCCCTGTACGCAGGGTCTCAGTCTTCCTAGACACACAGGGCCGGTACCTGGGGCACAATCGTCACCTAGCTTCTTACATTTTTAACTCAAAGTGAGTCTCCCTGGAAAGAGGCCATCCCTGCTGCATGTATAGCTGCTGTCAGGGCTGGAGAGCTTGGAGATCAGGGCAGAGTCATTACCGAAGCCTGTTTTACACCAGAGGTTGGGACTGGGATGGCCTTTCTGGTCCTGTTGCTGTCGTTGTTAAGTACCATCGAGTCGGTTCCAACCCATGGCGACTCTGTATAGATTTTCTGAGGAGTGGCTGGTGAGCTTGAACCACTGACCTTGCAGATCAAATGGAATTTGCAGTCCAGGGCATTAACCCACAGCTCCACACCAGGGTTCCTTCCTGGTCCTTGTTGTTGTTGTTGTTAAGTGCCGTGGAGTCGGTTCCGACTCATAGCGACCCTGCACAGGGTTTCCGAGGCTGTAAATCTTTACGGGAGCAGAATGCCTCATCTTTCTCCCCCGGAACCGCTGGTAGTTTCGAACTGCTGACCTTGTGGTTCACAGCCCGATTCGTAACCACTACGCTACCAGAGCTCCTGGTCCTAGAGAGCATGAATGCCACAGAGCCAAGCAGAACACGGCCGATTCTATCAAGTCCAGTATGCATGGCGGAAGGCCTGAAGTAGGAAGGAGGGATGATCAGAAGCCAAGGACCACCGGAGCTGGAATGAAGGCTCAGGGTTTTGCAGTCCATCTCTGCATTCTACAGGTGGGAGATCAAGGCCCAGTGAGGGGAGGGACTTGCTCAGCGCCACACCAGCATCAGCTGTGTAGCTAAGATGGGAATGATGACCTTTGATTCCTGTCTGCCTGCCTCAAGGCACTCAGGGGCGGAAAGACAGCACCCCACCTCGTTCCCAGAGACAGGGCCATATCCAGGCGCACAACGAGTTACCTGTCTCACAGCGAGGACCCTCGAAGAGCTCTGCACACACACAGCTGTAGTTCCCCACCAGATCCACACATGAGCCTCCATTCAGGCATGGGCTGGAGCTGCACTCGTCCACATCTGGGGTGCAGCAGTGGTGTGAGATGGCTGCCCTCCAATGGGGCCTCCCCCCTGCCCCGCTCCCCATGGGTGGGTGGGAGGCTCACCTGATTCACAGGCTGCCCCTGTGTACCCAGGCTGGCACACACACACTGCAATCCTGCCCTCCACCTGGCACTGGCCACCGTTCTGACATGCCTTGGCATCACAGGGGGACTGCACTACAAATGAAGAGTTGTGGAAAAGAACAGGATGTTAAAGAATGGGGTGGGGGGCGATTTTAGGAGGGGCAGCGCATGGAGGGGCAGTGCTAGCTCAGTGTAGAATGTGGAAGGCCAGGTTCAATTTGCGGTCAGTGCAGTTTGTGGGCAGCAGCCACGGTCTGTCACGGGCTTTCATGCTGCCTGATGCTGAACAGGTGTTAGTGGAACTTCCGGTCTAAGATGGACCAGGGAGAAGATCTTGGATCTACTTCGAAAACTAAGCCTACAGCTGAAGAGAGCCCGATACACACCGATCATGGATTATGCCTCATTGTGCAGTGGACACCAGGAGTCAGTCAGGGCCGGCTCAGTGGCAGCTAGACACACTGCGAGGGGTGTGACTCAGTGGTAGAACGAGGGGAGCTGTTATGCAGTAAAAGACAAGGCTCCTAGGACATGAAGTGCATATTGTGACGCGAAAGGAGCCCGTTAGCAAAAGCCACCTGCTATATGGCAATCTGGAGAAGACACAGTGATAGAGACAAGAGACCAGGTCAGGGGTCGTCAGGGGTTGGAAGGATGCCCAGGGCATTTTTGGGGCAGTGAAACCATTTTGATACAGTAACGGTAGACACAGGCATGATACATTTGACACAATCCACAGCACTGTACAACAGGGAGTGACCCTCAGGGAAACACCTGCCTTTAGTTGCTGACAAACAATGTATCTACATTGTTCATGAATGCAAACAAGCATGGCACAGGAAGGCGAGATGTTAAAATAGGAGGAATGGGGCATGGGAGGGGCTAAGGGGCCTCTGTTTTCTGCACAAATTTCGGTCAGCCTAAAAAAATTAAGGAGTCCTGGTATGGGGCTGTAGAATAAACACTGGACTGCTAACTGTCAGGCTGGCTGTTCAAATCCACTCTTCGCTCCTTGGAAACCTGATCTACAGCGTTGCTATGAGTTGTAACTGACTTGGCAGCACTTACGAACAGCAATTATTTAAAAACAAGCAAGCAAGCCTGCCTAACCCCACAAGCAAACAAAAATCAAGCCCCCTTTGCCAGTTGAAATTCCGCTGTGTTTCTTTTCCACTTGGAGTTCAAATTTCCACGTCACTGGTGTGGCGGGAGTCCTGGGGTGGTGCTGTGGGTTAATGTGCCAGACTGCAAAGCTGTTTGAACTGCAAGGTTGGCAGTTCAAGCTCACCAACTGCTCCTCGGAAACCTTATACAGGGTCACTATGGGTCGGAACCGACTCAACAGCACTTAACAACAACAACAAAGTCTTGGTAATCTCATGGTTAACAGTTCGAAACTCCCAGCTGTTCTGCGGGAGAAAGATGAGGTTTTCTGCTCCCGTAAAGATTTACAGCCTTGGAAACCTTGTACAGGGTCGCTGTGAGTCGGAACTGACTCCACGGCACATAACAACAACAACAAAGTCTTGGTATGGAATCCTGATGTGGTGCTATAAGATCAGTACTGGACTGTGAACTACAAGGTCAGCAGTTCAAACTCACCAGCTGCTCCTGGGAAACCCTATACAAAGTCGCTATGAGTGGAAACCAATTTGATGGCACTTTAGCAACAGCTAAGTCCTGGTGTAGCAGTGTAGCCTAAGCACTGAACTACTTCCAGGTCAGCAGTTCAAACTCACCAGCCACTCCGTGGAAACCCTACACAGGGATGCTGTGTGGCACTATGGGCTAATGCACTGGGCTGCCAAGTCTGTTTGAAACACAAGGTTGGTGGTTCAATCTCACCAGCTGCTCCTTGGAAACCTTATAGTGGTGGTTACGTGCTGTGGAGTCAGTTCTGACTCATAGCGAACTTGTACAGGGTTTCCTAGGCTGTAAATCTTTATGGGAGCAGAAAGCCTCATCTTTCTCCCACAGAACAGCTGGTAGTTTCGAACTGCTGACCTTGAGATTTACAGCCCAATTTGGAACCACTACGCTAGGAGAGTTCCTTTGGAAACCCTATAAGGGTCACTATGGGTTGGAACCTACCTGATGGCACTTAACAACAACAACAACAGAGTCCTGGGGTAGCATTGTAGTATAAGCACTGGACTGCTAACTGAAAGGTCAGCAATTCAAGCCTACCAATGGTTTCTTGGGAGAGAGATGGGCTTTCTGCTCCTGTGAAGACTGACATCTCAATACCAGAGGCACATGACAAACCTGGAGACAGAAGAATGGCTACGCAAACTCTGCTACCTAGGATGCATCTGTGAAATCCTCACAACATGGCTGCACCTGGAGGACATTATGCTGAATGAAATTAGTCAATCACAAAAGGGCAAATATTGTATGAGACCAATGTAAAAAGTTAAAAAGAAAAAGAAAAAAAAAAAGGCTTTCTTGATATAAGAAACAATCTATGATGTTATGGGGGGAGGGAAAATTATTCGTGGGCTGGAGGGTAGACATATGTTAACATGGGTAACAGGGCAGGCAATATACAACCGGAGGGAGGTTGGCAGAGGAAAGATGAAGGTATTGGGAGACATAGGGAGGAATGCAAGAGTTAAAGTCAATAAAAGTAAATACTGTTACTTGTTGGTGCATGGAGGGGATCGCAACCATGTAATGAAGCAAAGCATGTGATCTGATGAATGCAAAACTGATGCTCTGCTCTGTAAACCTTCACTCAATTCACAGTAAAAAGTTTATGGAAAGACAATTGGCAGCTCATTCTGAGTGAGGCTGAGTAGATGCCATGGTGTGTGGGTTCCCTAAACTGCAGTGAGTCTAGTCTGGTGAGCGGAAGTGTTTTAGTGACTGTCTCTGCTACAAAGACTATTTATACACATGAGGATTAAATTGTCAAACATTTGTACGTGGCCATAAGTCTCTAAGTATTAAAAAGTGGGCTGTCTTCCAGGCCTGGCTGCTGGTCTGCTCCTGACCCTGACCCTGGCCTCCATCCAAGCCCCTTCCAGAAGTCCTCCTGTGGGGTCAGGACACCCAGGAGGCCTGAGTTTGCTGTGGTCATGCTCGTGGCCCCTAGGATGGGTCATCACTTAGAGTCTGGACTCCTGCCACCCACAGGCTACTCTGGGGCTGCTCACATCTGGTGCAGAATCCTCTGTGACTCGCACAGCTGGCCCAATGTGCCCTAGTGCGGCAGGCTACTCCCCAGGCCTCACCCTGCCCAGCTGGGCTTCGGGGTGATCCACTTACTGGTCTCACAGGTGGGGCCCCCGAAGCTGTCTGGGCACTGGCAGCTGAAGCTGTTGGCCTTGTGTGTACAGGTTCCTCCGTTCTGACAAGGGTGGGACGCGCACTCATCCACGTCTGAGAAGTGGCACAGGTGGAGCCTCAGAGGAGGAAACAGGCCTGGAGGGGCCCCATCTCGGGGGACAGGACTCGGAGGGAGCAAGCCTGGTGGGGTGGGGACCCAGCATCCAGTCCTCCCCACCTCTGTGCAGACAGGACACCCACCCCTCTACGTGCTTACCACCATGGAACCAGCAGTCTGTGTCTGACTGCCAAGAGGCTTCCCAGGTCCCCAGCCCTTGGCATTGCCCTGAGACAGCACAGCCAGGCTGCCCACTCACCCAGCTGGCAGTGCCGCCCTGTGAAGCCTGAGAGGCAGGAGCAGGTGTAGGAGGGGTCTCCCGGGACGCAATCGTCGATGCACTTGCCTCCGTTGAGGCAGGGACGCAGGGTCAGGCACACGGAGGCTGCGCACAGAGGAAAACTCTGCTCGGGCCCCCTCAGCCCTCCCCTCTGGGATTGAGCCAGGGGAGGCCCACAGCTCTTCCCAAGTCCTTTAATTCTTTCATCTGGGATTCCGATGGATCCCGGAAGAGGGGAAGACAGTTACTCACGGGGTCAGTGGGGAAGACCCTATGAGCTACAAGGGACCCCAGGGTTGGCCTGGAGACTGCAGGCTGTGTATGTGTGAGGGTTTGGGCCCCCCTCCCCCGGGCATTTATTGTCTGGTTTCAGCTCTGCCACTGAGGGTGCTAGGACCTCTCGAAGCTGCCTGCCACCTAGGAAGGACTCCCAAGGAAGCTGATCCAGTTACCCCACTCCACCCCGTTCTAGTCCTGCCTACAAACTAGCGAGGGTCCCCAGGGGACCCAAGTCAGCTACCCCCACCTACCCCTTCTCAGTGCTGTCACCTAGGGAGGGCCCACAGCACTGAGACCACTTGGACCTTCCTCCTCATTCTAGGGAAGGCAACCTGAAGAGGTGGAGCTTAGGACCCCTGAAACATGCACTAATTAGCAAGCACTACCCCACAGAGTCCTGGTGTGGCATTATAAGATCAGCACACAACTGGAGGTTCGAACACACCATCCACTCCTTGGAAACCCTGTACAGGGTCACTATGAATTGGACCCATTCAATGGCACTTAACAACAACAGGTCTCAAGAAGGTGCTGGGTGAGGCCCAGCTGGGAGCTCCTGGTGGTCAGCACCCCCTCAACTTGCAAGCTTCACTGTGACTGTTTCCCCAACCCTTGGTGGTATGAGGGTGAGTATGATCCCAGATGCTCTGGCCTACGCTATCCTGGGCTAGTCTGGCCCGTCTCCACCATAGTGTGGGTGCTGTTTTGCACCCCGGATTCTGCAGGACCTTGGCCCCCATCAGGTCAGGAGTGAGTGATTGAGCAGGTCCCTCCAGGCTTGCTGGGTGCATGATCAGCAGTTCTTGGCTGACACCCCCACTTGACATCCCCCACTGCCCCCCAGGCACTAATATTTCAGAGAGGTCAGGACCTGCCAAGGCCGCACAAAAGGAGGCTGGGGCGGGAACCCAAAGTTCCCCCCACTCACGGACTGTTCCTCCCCATCCTCTGTACGCGGGAGCGAGAGGGGGGCTCTCCCTCCAATGGACGTGACGCTAGGGCTTGTAGTCAAGCCCTACACAGATGCAGAGACCACGGGGAAACGGGAAGACAGCATGTCACACTGTGACCGACGTGTCGTAGCTCCTCTTCTAGATTACTACAGACGCTGAGTTTCCCCGCCCCGTCCATGGCACCTCCCTGAGACTCCGCCCCTCCAGGGCAGAAGGTTAAAAGGCTCGGGGGTGGGGGTGG